AAATAAATAAATAAATAAACCTCACTGCCATCAAGTTCATGCCGACTCCTTGTGAGCCTGGAGGGCAAGTAGAACTGCCCCTGTGAGTTTCTGAAACGGTAAGTCTTTAGGCGAGGTGGAAAGCCTTGTCTTTGTCCAGCAAACATAGAATAAAAGGAAGCTCTGGTACAAGGTGGTCAGGAGTTGGAATCCTAAACACAAGGTCAGCAGTTCAAAACCACTAGCCTCTGATGGGCTGCTAATCAAATCACTGTGATCCAGGGGATCTCATTAACTGGGTTTCTAAAGAAAACCACCACACCTTGCTTCTTAGTTTATCTTTGTTTTCCCCAATTGCATTAGTCTCGTTATTCTTTTGATAATCTCTTCCATTTGTAGGTGATGAAATGCTTAAGGATCCACTCAGATGCTGGCACCGGCAAGAACATGGTCACTCCCTTTATTTAAACTCAAAATCAAGCCTTTGGACTCTTGTCTCAATTTGGATCCCTGCAGCTTGGCTGCAGCAGGCCTCTGGAGACAGCCCACACTGCAGCGGTCGGTCTACACGTGGCTCTGGCCTCCCCAGGAGCACCACAAGGTGAATTTAGTTTACGGATAGTCAACCAGGAGGCATTCTCAAGTGAGTTTACATACATTTTATTTAAATTTAGACAACCTAAAAAGGCCTCCACGCCAAATACATCAAGGTCAAATGTAACTAACGAGCTCAGAATGACATCAGTTCCGTTTGTCTCAGTCCTGGTGTCGAGTGGATGGACAGCAGCCGGTTAGGTTGAGAGGCATCGGTCGTGAGCTGCCCACTGTGTTAACTAACATGTCTCCATCTCTCAGCCATCCTGGAAGATCATATACGGGGTCACACCATCCTCACGGTGGTCCAGTAGAGCAACCATGCCATCTGGCTTCATGTTCTCACCAACAAAGAACTGGTCGTTTTTGAAATTTGCAAGGATGTACTTGATTTGTTCTGCAGCCCCTGTCATACCAGGCTTTACTCTTTCTGGTTTCTGCTTTGTCTTTGATTGATTTCATGTCGTCTTTGATGTACTTCTTGTAGGCGTCTTTTGTGAAGCTCGTCTCCTGCAAGTGCTGGTTCATGACAATGTCAATACCAGTGACCACGGTGCTTTCTGCTGCATCACCATCGGGGCCTTAGGCGGAGGCATTCCCACCAATGAGGGAGTCATCAATGTTACCTTCGGTCCTACTGACTGTCTCACCTCCACTTCCAGACACAGCCCGTCTGCGATCTCCCGGATCTTGTAGATGTCAGAGAACATCTCACCATGGTTGATGAGGTCCTGGTAGATGATCATGATGGCGGCTAAAGGGAGACAGCGGCGGCGCTAGCTTAGGAGGAGCCCAGAGCTCTGAGTAAGCCCGGTGCGGCCAGAGCTGTGCTCCCTTCTTAGTTTATCTTAGCCTGGAAACTCTCCTTAAACTTCCAGTATCATGGTGTGGCAATTACATAATTTGTTGTCAACTTGGGACTTGAGATGATTAAGAGTGAAGGGGTGGAGTCTGGCCTGTCAATCAAGATATAACCAATGAGGCCTCTGTGTGGGCATGGCCTTCTCCTGAGAATTCTGGGAACTCTGGTATTTCCTCCTTGGAGGCAGGAGACACCTTTCTTTCTGCTCACTTCCTGCGAGACATCCCAGAGGAGATGCCACTTGGACCTACCCTGATGCAGCCCCTGGGAACCAGAGGAGCCACATGGAGAGCCCTGCCAGCACTGAGATGCTTCTACCGCCACTGACTTTGCACTCACTGGGCTGCGATCTTCCTGCATCAGCGACACTGCATGTGTTTTATGAATCTTAAGAGGCCTTCATAGATTGGTATGGGACTTGTGGACTTGATCTGGACTGGGTTGGGATGCTTTCTTAATGTACAATTACTCTTTATATAAAACTCTCTCTTATACACATATGAGTTTCAATGGATTTGTTTCTCTAGTCTACCTGGACTAACACACAAGGCAGCACCAAGCTTCCACTGAGAGCTGGGTGGTAGCTGAGCATCAGGTACATGACCTGCACTCAAACTCAGTCTTCCCTCCAAAGACAAGAACTCACCCCAGAGCCATTACCACCCTCTCACCTCCCACACCGTCAGCCCTTAAACAGCAAGCTCAGATATGGATACCTGTTATTCTCACTAGCATACATTGAGCCTCTAACCCTTAGTTTTTCTGGTCATTGCCATGCCTAGTCAACAGGCATTATCCTGTGCTACTCTCCTTCCAATTCACACCTGCCCTCGCTCCTACAGTCTCACTGCCATTGAGTCAGTGATGACTCACAGTGAGCCCCTGTCCCTCACAAGTGTCCTTGCCTGCTACTTCAGCCAGAAAACCTGGTCTCACTCCAGCGTCCTGCCCCGGTTCCTTGCCCTGTCAACCCTAACTCCCCGGGCTGCTGCTTTTTCATTTGCACCGTGCCTCAGGTCCGCCCAACACACACCACAATGGCTCCTCCCTTGAGATGCACCGATCAAGAATCCCCTCCTTCATGTGGAGGTGATTGCACAATTCCTCTTGATAGGTTTGAACAACTGAACTATTCCTTTCTATGATATTATGTGCCAACGAAACTATTGGAAAAAAAGAATCACCTCCTCCAGGATGCCTCCCCTCCCTCCCTCTCTTGTCTACTACATTTTCCTATCCCCCTCTGAGAACAGAGATTGAATTGTCCCTCCTGAACGCCCAACACCAGCACAAGAGGAATGAATCAAAGGTTAAGTACAGCAAACCTGGCTTCCGTTCTGAAATGTTTTTTTAAATTATTTGTATATTTTATTGGGATATACTTTACACAACATACAGTACAATCATGCAATTATATTAAGAAGATCTGGGATCCTCGCCACAATCCATTTCAGAACATTTTCTTTGCACGCTCTTTGTTGTTAGCTTGCCATTTCTCCCGACCTCTCCTGCCATGCTGCTAGGCGATTATCAGTCCAGTTACTGTCTCTACAGGGGTATCTATCCTGGGCTTCATAGACAGAAAATCCTAAGAAATACAGACAGGAAACAAATAAAAACTCAACAACGACTGGACCAAACACAGAAAACCCTCATTCAAAAAGAGCATGAAATATTAAAAACTGAAAAAAAAGTATTAAAAACTGAAACGACTTTAAAATGGGTCAAAAGGGAAATCAAATAAGGTATTGCATATTAACCTGACTACATCTGCCATGACGAACTTTACAAGGCTACTCACATCCCTTAATTATGGTCAGAAGGGATTCACAGAGGCTAAACCCATGTGGGGACCCTGCCTGTGGATTAAGCCTCCAGTGAATGTTTTCAACAGCAATGAAGATTCGTACCCAGTCACTTATATGATCCCACACATTTTCTGGCTCTGCTCCCCTCCCGCCTTCCCAGAACAAATCTTCCTTTGATGAAG